TGGTGGCGCTTGCCCGGAGCTCAAGCGTGTGTGGGCTGGTGCACTGTACATGATTCATGGGGCCCATTTATTGGGACAATCAGGCCAAATTCAGGTTAATGGCTTTTTAATCATTCTCCCGATGGTGCATGAAAGCACTTGAAGGCGGTCCACAAGTGCCAAGCTCGGCGCGGTAAGCAGGTCCCATCTGTGGACTGGATGCCAGCCCGGGCGCGGGGGCGGTGGGCACGGGGCGGCCGGCGGGCCAGCTGCAGGCAGCCTGCCGCGTCCCTGGTCCAGCACGTGGAGGGGCGGCCCCTGCACGGGTTTCCAGACACGCAGACGTGAGTGTGCACACACGGCAGCGTGGCCTCTCCAGCCCGCCGCCCTGCTTGGTGAGCCTGGACATGGACCCCCCAGCTCCCTCTCCCTGGTCTCCTCGCACCCACCCTTACACTCTGCAGCATAACTGAGCATCCCAAATAGTGAATCTGGGAACACGGAGACAGGGCACACCCCTGCTGCACTGCCACGGCCCTCAGTGGCCCCCTCACCGGCCCTGCCACAGAGACTGGAGCCTTCCCCCAGCGCTCACCGGCGCACCCTTCGTGGGCTCCCTGGCAGAGCACAGAGGCGAGGCCTGCCTGCCCCACAGAGCAGCTCTGAGGGGCGCGCACAGCCACGGCGACGCGTCCACCACGGGCTCTCTGCCTCTTCAGATAGGCCTGACCTCCAGGTCTGGATGAGACCCCCAAACGGTGTGGGTTCATAGAGGATGGTCTAAAGCCAAACACTACTGGGAATCACCCTTTAAAGGTCATGTCTAAAGGGGGAAGACCTGGCGTGAAATGGGACGGCACTGACTTCCGTGTCCCTCCCCAGACCCGACCCACCAGAGGAAGAACGCGACCTACCCCCGAGTGCCTGCGAGTGAGCCGCCCAACAGCCCACGACACAGCCAGAGACACCTGCGCCGGCGAGGCCACGGCAGGACCAGGGTTTGGGTCTTCGCCTTACGTTTGTGGAATTCTGCCAATAACGCGTGTCTGCTGTAACAGCCAGCACAGAGCAAGGACGGCGAGTGTGCGGGCCCCACCGCGGCGCTGATGGCAAGCACAGGGGGCGGAGAGCAGGCACGTGTCTCTGGGCGGGGGACAAGGACTGTGAGCCCCAGGGACGGGAACGTGAGGCCACAGGTGCCACGGATCCCTTCCCAGGGGCAGTGTCCATGGCAGCACAGAGCTGCGCCCCCAGGGCAGAGCACGGCAGGCATAGGGCAGACTGGAGGGTGCAATGAGGGTACAGGGAGGGCGCTGCTGGGTGAGTGGCCTGCGTACCTCAGAGGCACAGCCCCTAAGCCCCCCTCAGCCCTGCCCCCACCGCGCAGTCAGGAACCCAGCTCCCCAGGCCTTTGGGGGCCGCAGCATCTCCCCTGGCCCACGGTCTCCATGGGCAGGCTCCCGAGGGATATGCCAAGGACACTGGTGTCAGGGGTTGTGTTCTTGTCACACGTGTCCCAGCTGCCACCATGGGAGGAGAGTGATGTGCTCCGACAGCAGCCCAGCTGGCTCTGCTGCTCTGGGGTCCCGGCTGCGTGGGCACCTGGCAGGGGGCTGGCTCCCGCTCCGCCCAGGGCCCTGTATCTACCATCCCTGCAGACCCGGCGCTTCCTGCAAAGTATTGGGGGGTCGGGTGCCCGCTGCTCAGGCAGGCCCCGAAGCCACGGGGCCTCGCACCCGGCAGGAGCGGCGCATGCACACGCGCGTGCAGCTGCACGGGTCCACACACGCGGGGAAGCCTGCTGAGTAAGCGCACGTGTGAGCGCCATGGGCACGTGGCGCAGAGGAGCAGTCTTAGTGAAGACGGGGGACATGCTGGGCAGGGCAGCACCCGGGGTGGGGTGGGAGGGACGGGGCACCCAGCACCCCACGTGGCTGCTGCATCGGGCGGGAACCAGTCCAGGTGGGGGAACCCCGTAAGAACCCCGCGCCGGCTCTGCCCCGAAGCCGCGGCTCTTTCATGTGGTTCCAGCTCCCGGAGTGCATTTCCCAGGATTTCAAAGAGCCGTTAGCGCAAGACAGTCCCTCTCTCTCGTTTCCATCTGAACGGGTTCCAACGTCAGGTCCTCTGCCAGAACGCTGGGCCCGCACGCATACGCACACACGCGCATGCACACACACACACACACACACACACACACGAAAGGGACCTGTCAGCACCGCTTCCCGGTGGCACCAACCGGGAGGCCGGGGACCCAGGCAGGCCCACAAGGTCGCTGCCATCCACACGCTCACAAGCAGAGCTCGCCGAGGGGGCCCAAGGGGCAGGCCTGCCCCACTGACCATGTGGACAAGCCCGTCCCACCACCCCGGTGGCTTCTGGGTCTGTGACCCCCACCCAGTGGAGCACAGCCCCTCTGAGGCCCACGGGCCCTGCTCCCATCCCTGGAGGAGGCAGGCTGGTCCCACAGCCCTGAAGCACGGCCCCCTGCACTGGGGGAACAGCGACCTCACACCTGGGGCCACTGGGAGCCGCCCCAGGCTGGCTCGACACAGGGGCACCTGCCACAGGGAGCACACAGGCCTGCAGAGCACAGGTCAGCGGTTAGGGCAGCAGCAGCGCAGAGATGGACAGCACAGTCCCACGGCCTCCCCCCAGCTATAAGCCCCCCCACCAGACACCCAGTGCCCCTCAGGACCCCCTCAGCCCCAAGTGCTGAGCTCCCTTCTGAGCGGGGTCCTGATGCCTTGGCCTGGTGGGGCTCCCGTGGAGATGCCAAGCCCCCTGCCCCCTCCCCCCAGAGGACCAGCACCAGGAAGCCTGGGGCTCCAGGGAGGAGCTGAGAGCTACGGAAAGCCCCCACGTCTGCAGCTAGACCAGGGCTTCTGTGGCCTATGCGTCCACTGAGGGGAGAGTGGGAGGGGCCAGGAGGGCCAGCCACACCTCCCCATGCCACGAGACCCTTCCCAGCAAGTCTATGCATTCTACACTCTTCTACACACGGGTTCCTTTCCCCTGCAGCTGCCCTCTGTGAAGGGATACACTGAGTCAAAAAGGAAAGCAAGGGCAGAAGACCACTGTGAGTACCCCGTGTCCCCAGGCTGGCAGGCCAGCCTCTGCCAGCAGCGCCACTGCCCCCTGCACACACACACATATGCACAGACACCCCATCTATGGGGGCACTGACCGCCCCCCCCGGCAGGAGTATCAGCCTCTCAGGGGAAGGCAGGTGGGGAGGTGGTGGTGGCCTGCAGGTGAAGTGGGAGCAGAGGGAGAGGGGCAGGCCCGCCCTGGGCGGTGGGTGCAGAGAACCTCCAAGGGGAGGGGAGGGACAGGGCGGGCCCACCGGTCAGCTCTGCTAGCACCAGAGCGGGGCTCATGTTGCCACAGGAACTGAGGACGTGGGGTACATGGCTGGTACCCAGGGTCCATGAGACGAGCCTGGCTGCGCTGGGCTGCACTGGGGGGGGGGTGCGACCCCGACTCCTCGACCTGGGAAGGGCATGGCCCGTCCTCCAACCACCAGTGAGGCAGCAGCTCCCAGAAAAGCCCTGGCGCAGAACCAAGCCCATCCCATGTCCCCGAGCAGGCACGGGCGCCGCCTTGAGCTCACGGGAAAGAACCAGCAGCTGAGGCCGCCCAACGGCACCATCGCCTCAGAGTCTCCAGAGTCGCCCGCCTTCCGACATCTGCAGAACCGTGTGGCCTCCACACCAGCCGGCCGCTCCCCACAGCCCCGAACGGTGGTGGGGGTGCCGCGCTCCAAGGAAAGGCCGGCCACAACAGGGCTGCTGAGCGCAGGGCCCCTATGGGGAGAGGGCACCGCAGGGAGAGGGCGTGGCGGGCAGAGCACAGGAGCGAGGAGAGAGGAGAGAGCAGCTTGCTGAAGCACACTTGGGCCTGGGGGTAAAGGGACCCCCCAGACAGCTCCTGCTGTGCAACCCTTGGCTGGGGGCCTCCACCGCGAGCCCTGGATGCAATTGGCCCTGGGTTTTTGCAGGATTACATAAAATTCATCAAGGACAAATGCTATGTGGACTGGGGGAAAATAGAGAACTTTATTTTTAATATAGTAATTAAACTGCACCACAGAGCAAGGACATGAGACTCTTTGTTTCCACTTAATAAATACAAGTGAGTAAAAATACTTTGTTTGCAAAGAGACTGCCCATCTGTCTTCCTTCTCCAGACTCCTCGGAGTGCCGCCGGCACAAACCCCTGCGGGAGGGGCCTGCAAGTCCCATTTGGGGACAGCACCTCTCCTTTCTGGTGCCCTTCCAGGTACAAGTGCTCGTACTGAACATCAACGTGACGACGGTTCCCCCGAGAGAGAAAGAATCGGGTTTCCTTACAGAAGCCCCGCGTGGATGGAGCCCTTCCCACCGGAACCCGGCGACACCAAGAAAGGACACTGTCCGCTCAGCGCCCGGAATGGGGGGAAGGATAATGGAAAGTGTGACCTACTCTATGTCTTACAGACAGTCCCTTATTTCAAAAGTAGAGATTCCTACTTAAATTTAACGGGTCTGAAACCGGCCAGGCATCCGATTCTGCGACACATCTGTTACTGCTTGTTCACGGAGCCCCTGGCACGGTGCTGCTGGGCCACCCAGGCTGGCGGGCTCCGGGGCTACAGCGAGATCACAGACCACCGCTAAGTGCCTTGCCCCCACGCTGGGGCCCGGGGGAGGGGAACACCCTACCCCCACCCCCCACACGCCATGCTGCCCAACGGGCAGCGCCCAAGGTCGGGGATAAGGCACACCTCTGCGCCCGGAACTCACGAGGGTGAGAGTTCCCTTCCCAAGCCACGCTGCAAAGGATAAGTCCGTCTCAGTGTTAGGCTCCCGCTGCAGCCGCAGATACAGAAGCTCAGAACTCCCGCGTCTACACGGGGCGGCGTGTCCCTGCCCTAGTGACGCACAAGTCAGCGAGGACACAGATCTAAGTATGACCAGGAAGACAGGGTCCGTCCTCACAACCAGTAGTAAACCTCTTTGACCCACCCCATTTCTCATCAATCCGTGTTTTTAAAAAGTATTTATTTCCTGAAAGTATCTCTAAGTGTGATAGTTTGTAACACACGACAAACAAAAATGATGTAACGAGATTATAAGGAACAGGCAGGAAGTACTATGAAGCACTGAAACCAAGTGACATCCCTGGCCGGGCCCACAGAGCCATCCTGCCAGCCGCCACTCGAGCTGCGAGGCCCCGTTTCCTCAAAGGAGCACTACTGGTTCTAGCCCCCAGGAGTGTGGCACACACGCCCCCACCGACTGCGACAGAAGGGAAGCCACAGGCCTGTGCGGTGTGCACCCCGGCCGGGAGAGGGGGTGGGGACAGCTGTCACCATCTCCCCAAAGCGCCAGGCCAGCAACACGGTAACACTGCCTCTGGCTGTCATCATCCTACATATACCATAATTTCAGAAAAGAAGCCTGTTTGGAGCGGGAAAGGTAGGGAAAACAAGAGATGCTGTGGTTCTGCAAGCTTGCCTTTTTTGGTACCAGCACAGAGTGTCACTGTCAGTATGCGTTCAGCAGAGAAAGCCCGGCCGCGGCTGGGCGCCGTGTCTGTGCGTGCGCAAGGACGGGCCTCAGAGCCCCAGGGACTTCTGCGCCAGCTGCCTGGCCACCCGGCAAAACTGCTCCCGGTCGTCCCGCCACATCTTGGAAGCGTCCACGTTGGCCCCACTCTCATCGTTGGGCTCTGCAAGAGAAGAGACATGCGCAGTGGGAAAGGAGCTCTGGAAAGCAGGGGCCAGCCGAGGTCTTCCATCTCACTTACACCCTCCACGCATCCTTCCGGAGCCGTGTCCCAGAAACACACGCTAGGGGAGGAAGTCGGCTCTCCGACAGACTCACCGAGGGGGATTGCAAGGCGGCGTGAAGTCAGGGACATGCACGTGTGGCAGGAAGACCCACCCTCAAGATCCCTACATCCCGAGTGTCTTGAAGACAAACATTCTATCTTGCTCTGGAGACCCTAGGTCCCACTCCTCTGTGTAGATGCCCGCCCAGCTCCCGCCACAGGCCAACGCGAGGTCGATGCCCGGCCCCGGAGCACACCTGACCCCAAAAGGTGCCCCAAACAGATCAGGACACACACACAGAGGCAGCAAGGCAGGGAGTCAGAGGCCCAGAGTGGGCCGGGAGCAGTACCCACGGGGCAGGGAGCCAGCGCTGGAGAGGAGCAGAAAAGACAGCCAAGAGGCCAGCCGCGAGCAGGACCCCAGCCCCTCCCTCCTGCCCGGCCTTGCGTCCCTCTGTGGCCACCCAGTCTCTGTCCCTCCAACCACGATGGCTTCTTCCTCCCGTTTATTCAAGAAGCCCTTCCTCAGCAGGTCCTGGGCGTGAGGTCCAGCACAGGGGACTGTGTGTGCGGAGCGCACACCCTCCAGAGCACCTACAGACGGGACCGTCCTCACACGCATTGTTTCAAACTCAGGGCTACACAGTGGGCAACGGGAGAGCAGGAGGCAGAGGACTTGGGGTCCCGCAGGCCTCGAGGAGGCGTGTGCTCAGGGGACCCCTGAGCAGGCCTGACGGCAGGGAGCACACGAGCACGGACAGGGCCAGCCCGGCTCCCCACCCAGCACCGGTGACAGCCGGAACCCAGGGCCCGGACGGCTCACGGAGGACCAAGGGCTGCAGGCTCTCTCAAAGCAGGCCAGGACGGAGGGTGCCGAGTGCGGCCGCAGCCGAGCTGGAGGGGAACCGAGCTGAGAAAGTAGCTCAGAGCCCAGGGCACGTACTCTGACAGCAGCGTGTCGGAAATACGTTAAAACATTCTTTTTTTTTTTTCAAGCAAGCTCCACGCCCAGTGCAGAGCCCAATCCCGGCTCGAACTCACAACCCTGAGATCAAGACCTGAGATGAGATCAGGCACCGAAACAACCGACTGAGCCACCAGGCGCCCCTACGTGAAAACCTTTTAACCGTCAGCCTGGGACTCTCCCTCCCTCCGCCCCTCCTCGCTCTCCAAATTAAACAGATAAATCTTTAAAAATAAGTAAATAAAACCTTTTAAGAAAAGAATTTATAGCAAAACTGTCACGGTAAGACTTAAAGCTGCCATTTGCAGACCGCCGACCCACCGCCTCGCCTCTGTGCCCCATCAGCACGTGAGGGGAGGGTGAGTGCCTCCGCCCTCACACAGGCACACACACGGACATCAGACGTCCTCGCGTTCACGCCACCGGAGGGCCACTGAGGCCCCCCAAGCCTCCCCCTCTGCGCCTCCCACTCCTCCACGTCTTCCCTTCCTGGTCGTCTAGGCTATCGCCCCCTACTTTCCCTGAGGACCACCCCCTCCTTCCTCGTGCCCTTTCTCACGCCCTCTGTCCTGCCCCTCAGCCACGGTCTCATCCAGACGTGAGCTCAGCCTCACCTGCCCGGCAGGCCTCGGCCGGGCGGCCACCAGGGATGGACAACCCCACGGCAGACCCTTCTCCCAACTCCATGGGCTCCTGTCCCGGAGACGGCAGCCCTCTACCCCGTGCTGAGGTCAGAGACACGGGAGTCACCATGCACACCAGTGAGCCTGTCTCCCAAATGCAACCCGTTCTTGTGGCCGGCCCCACAGTGGTCCCCGGCCTGCAGAAGTCCTTGTCCCCCAGCCCACTGCAACACTTGCCCGACAGGCTCCCTGCCACACGGACAGTCTTGCCGAGGTGCAGCTGCACGGCCTAATGTCCTTGGCTGAGCTCGAGCCGTAGCCAGTGCTGGCAGTGTCCCCACACGAGCCACAGGCCTCATTCCAAATGCCCCTCCCGCCCCCTTAGCTCAGTACCTCCTCTGCAGGACAGTGCCGTCTCGGGGCCGGCCCGACAGCCCCTGTGTGTCCAGCTCGGGATGTGTCAGCGACTGGCCGCCACTGGCGGATCTGGAAAATCTCCTCAGAAAGCAGGCTTAGGGCTGGGGTCTAGGACACACTGCGCTGGACACCCCAGGACCCAGTGTCGGCGACACAGCAGGTGCCCCAGGAAACACCGGCTCCACGAGCGCGATCCCCGAGGACCGGAGTGCGGCTCATTCTGGCCAACGTACAAACTCATAACCATGAAGTGCGTATACAAGTAATTCAGTGAAAAAGCAGAAACGGCGCATGTGGATGAAGGACAAACAGACACGACTGTGACAGAGGACAGAGGAGGACACAGGAGGACAGAGGAGGAGGACACAGGAGGATACAGGAGCAGGACACAGGAGGACAGAGGAGCAGGACACAGGAGGACACAGGAGGACAGAGGAGGAGTACACAGGAGGACACAGGAGCAGGACACAGGAGGACAGAGGGGCAGTCCGCGCCGTCCGGCTCCCCCCGGGGCCGGGGCGGCCGCCTTACCTGCCAGCATGCTCACCACCGACAGCAGGATCTTCTCCACGCTCTGCACGGGGCTCCACCGCTCGGCGCTGCTCTCGTAGCCCATGGGGTCGTCGCCTGGGGCGTGCAGGATGGAAATGCAGACTCTGCCGTCAGGGTAGACTGTGGGGGTGAGGACGCAGCAGGTGAGCCAAGAGAACGGGGACAGCGTGCGGCAAGGCGGGCAGCAGCACGGACGTAGAGAGCCAGCTGCTCGCGAGGCTGCAGCAGAGCCCGAGGCCCCGCGTGCCGCACCCTGGTGCCCCCGGCCGGCTGGGCCCGCGCTCATCGACCAGGCTCCAGGCCATCTGCCTGGCCCCAGGCTCCCCCCACGGCTCCGCCGCCACAGGGATCTGGGTTGGTCAGCAGTGCATCTGAACGGACTAACTAATGACGGGGAACCTGGCAGAGAACTAGTTCACCAAAATAACTCTTGTAACGAGGATTACTCACAGTAATTGTCAGAGCTGATTTCTAAGATTTTCCAATGCCCCCAAGAAACCCTGGAACTAACTGGACGTGGAAATCTACGTCCCCAGTGCCAGGATGAAGGTAACCAGGATTACAGAGACTTCTAGAAGGAAGAAGGTGCCCTGACTTCTCCCAGGGCCTCCCTCTAACACCCAGCCAGTCATCTGTGCCCCGGAGGTCCGCTGTGTCCCGTCGAAGCCACGCCCACCCGCAGCATCAGGAACCAGACCCGTGCGCTCTGGGTCCAGACAAACGCGTCTCTGTTCCCAGTGTGTGACCGATGCTACCAAGGACCCTGCAGCACCTGCCGCTTCTCCCTCTCACACGGGAGAGCCTCAGCGGTTCGACGTGTACCCAGGACAGACTCCACTGTAAACTGCAAGGCTGTAGGTTATAATAACAGAAACAACAGACAATTCAGGATAAATGTACGTAACTCCCCTTCCTCGTGAGCGCAGAAGCCCCAACCACTGAGACACCGGAGTGGCCCGAAGCCCGCCCACACACACGCACCACCCCACCTCGACCGTGGCCACCTCACAGCCAGGCTTCTCGAAAGAACAGTACTTCTGAGCACCTGCCGTGCACACAGAACTGCATCAGTGTGAGAAAAGAAAAATCCGAAACAGTCTGTCTGAGGAGGGGGCTAACGACCCACACGTAACATCAGCAGGACGCGAGACGATCCAAATGAGGGTCTGGACGGCCAGTCCCACCGGGGGACACGATCCTGAGCCCCTCTGGCAGGGGTGGGGGTCTGGGCAGGCCTCCCCCCACCCCGTGGAGGTGCCCAGGCTAGGGGAGAACTGCGAGGTGGGTTCGTTTGTTATTAAGCCAAGGGGTGTCAAAGGCTCAGCAAGTTCTGTAAATGCTCTTGTGGATTAAATGAGCCTTGAGCTATTTTATACGCAGAAAAGTACAGGAAAATAAGGAATACTCAAATGAGAAAATACTTCATTTCTACAAAACACGGCGTCTTACTCGCTTTTATTCTCCACAACCATTAAGATCACGATTTTAACGGCAATAACCATTTATAAAGAGGAACATTATCCTGGGGTGCCTGGGTGGTTCAGTTGGTTAAGTGTCTGCCTTCAGCTCAGGCCATGATCTCAGGGTCCTGCAATCGAGCCCCGCGTCGGGCTCTCTGTTTCTCCTTCTCCCTCTGCTCCCCCTGCTTGTTCTCTTTCTCCTTCTCTATCAAATAAATAAATAAATCTTTCCAAAAAATTTTTAAAAAGGAACATTATCCTAAACGTGATCATTAAAAACGTATTTTCTTACTATAGTATACGTACTACGTACACTCTTATCTACGACCTTCTCTTGTAAAGGAAAAAGGAAGAACCAGGGCTATTCAGGAATCCAATTCCTACCACTGGACACTTTCCCAACTTAAATCCATAAATGTAATCAATGACGGGAATTCCAACCCCCCTTTAAAATACATGTTTATTTTAGAAAAAAGATTTGCAAAAACCAAAAAAGATGCCATTATTGAAAGAGAATCACTTTCAACATTTTTGAGCCACGTTGCCGGTTATGTACATTTGCACACGAATTGTTTTCAAAACAAGTGAACTGTAACAAGGATGACGACACATAACCTGCTTTCCTCATTCAACACCGAACCACCGCTGTAGATCGTCAGACTTTACTCTAGATCACTCAGAGTGTCTGTATCGTACTCGGATGGACAGTCCAGCGTGGCTCGGCTGTTGAAAACCTGGGCCGCTCTGACCGGTCCCCACTGTCAGAGCCCACGGCGGGCCGGCGGCTGGAGTCGCACTGCGCGCACACCCGGCCTGCTCCTCTGACCGGCCCGCCGGAAGAAGGAGCAAACAGGTCAGCGGGCGCCCAGCGTCAGGTCCACATTCACCATCTACGTCACACTGTCTTTCAACTGATGTCACCACCACCACGAGGAGGTGGCTGCGGTTTAACACGCGGGTTCCACCTCCCGGGCTCAGCGTCCCCGCACACAGCCCCGCACCTCCCCGTCAGAACCACGCCCCACAGCACTTACTGTTGGGATGAAACATCTCGCAGGTAAATCTCATCTTTGGGGGACTTAACGGGTAATCCAGCGGGAAGCTCAGGATGGCAGGAAAGACCCCAAACTCAAAGCAGGTGTCTTCTGGGCCCCTGGGGGACAGAAAGGACAGAGACGCTCAAGTCCGTTTCCGAGGGCCCACCACACTAGTAAGGAGCTGGGAGATTTCTACTGCTTCACAAGCGCGCACGAAGAGACACGTGAACAGTAACGGTGAACCGGTACTTCTCTCTGAGCAGGGAAGCGGCGCCTCCTCGTCCCACAGCAGTCTGGTTAGACTTAGGGACAAGCGCAAACACCGAATTACAGGCACAGTGTCTGCACTAACGGAGGTAAGCGTGGGCGGCAGAGGCTCCCCAAAATACGGGATCAGAGGGGAGAGCTGCCAGCAACACAGGAAGGCCTGGGGGCATCTGTTTTCTGTGCACATGCTGTCGTCTCACGTGATAAAGGTACACTGTAGGCACACACCACAGCACCATCGTATTAAATGAGGGTTAAGAGTTGTTATTTCAAAGGCTATTTTGAAATTTTTAAAAGTGCCCAAGAAACGATTTTGTCACCTTCAAGAAAGAGGTAAGGAGCACCCCATGACCAATGATGCAGCTCCTGCGGGAGCCGGGTGTGCACACGTGCAGCAGAGCCGGGCCAGCGCTCCCTGGAGTGCAGTGTCACGGGGCACACGTGGGCCTGTCTGCCTGGGCTTCCGTCCCCATCACAGGAGAGTAGCAGAGGCGGACGAAACCACTGCTGAGTCCTGTCAAACCCCAACACAACACGTCTGAGTTAACAATATCCAGGCCCCCATGTGGGCCACGATGGCAGCAGCTAGTAAGAGCCGTCCCTTATAGGTTGCATTAGGGTCGCTCGTACGACCGCCTCCGTGAGAGCAGAGCTGCCCCCAGGAGGGCCTGTCCCGCTGAGCCAGGATGCGAACCAGCAGCTCTGCAAACACACCACCCCAGGAGCCCGAGACCCAGGCCACTGCAGGGGCAGCTCGACGCCGGAGACAGGCTCCCTTTCCAGATGAAAACCAGACACGGCACAGGAAAAAAACAGCTGAAATACATTTATTCCGAGACAATGTTCATTGTTTAAAAATCATTTTCTCGGGGTGCCCTGGTGGCTCAGTGGGTTTAAGCCTCTGCCTTCGGCTCAGGTCATGATCTCAGGGTCCTGGGATCGAGCCCCGCATCAGGCTCTCTGCTTGGCAGGGAGCCTGCTTTCCCCCCCACCCCCACCGCCTGCCTCTCTGCCTACTTGTCATCTCGGTCTGTTAAATAAATAAATAAAATCTTAAAAATAAATAAATAAATAAATAAATAAATAAAATCCTTTAAAAAAATCATTTTCTCAAAAAGTACGAATTTGTTTCAAACGGATGAGACTACTTTGATTCAGCAAAGTAATAATACAAACTCGCAAGCAGTAGCAACAACGTTCATGTCCACAGTTAAAGGAAAAAGAAAAAATTCAAAAGGACAAGGGACACAGGGCTTTCCTGTCACCTGTGAAGCCGCCCGGGGCTTTCGACAGCGCCTGCCACGGATGCCCAGATCACATCCCGGGGGAAGGGGGCCCAGCTGCAGCAAAGCAGTCAAAACGAGACACGGCAAGAAGTGTTTGGGGGAGCCCATTTGTTTTTCCTCTTTAAGAGACAGACCTTGATTTTGAGAACTGTGCCCTTGCTACTTGGGGGGAAACCACAGTGACTACTTTGTGTTGCAGGTATGAGTGTCCCAACAGCGCCCACAGCCTTGGCGGGAAACCAGGACCAGGAAAGCCACATGAAGAGGGACAAGCGGCGGGCAGGGCGCCCGTCCAGCAGCAGCCAGCGGCCGGGCAAGGCGGTCTGAGGCCTGCTCTGTGCTTCCCATCCTGGATGCCTGTTCCTCTGTGGGCAGACGGTGACTGCCCCCGCTCCCCGCCCTCCATCCACAGGTCCCCAGTGGCGGGGTGTCTGCAAGCTCCGCTCCCCCCAGGGTCGGCAAAGCTGGGGAGGCCGGCGATCACAGAGCACGGCCGCGGGCCATAGGCGTCCAGGTCGGAGCGAGGCGCCCAGCACGGCTCCCGGGAGGCCAGCGGACACAGGCACCCCTCCAGCGTCCGTCAGGAACGCTCCCTGGTGCCTCTGCATCGTGGGCACAGCCGAGTCAGAGGAGAAAAAAAGTCTGGGTAGTGTTTTGGAACAAGCCAAATGGTATTTGCTCAACGCTCTAATAAGTTCTTTGTTTCTCATAACAGGGCTTTCTTTAACACTTAAAAAAAAAAAAAATCCCCTGGGTCCCCCGTAGCCTCAGAAGCATGAGCAAACATTTCCCTAAGGGCTCCCACATCTTACATATCAAAGCTGTTTTCAAATACCCTAGTTCGCTACTGGTTTGAAAGGAGGGTTTCCCTGTCCTCCAGGACGCCCTGAGGCTGGGACAAGCAGGCAGGGGCCCGTGCCCAGCAGGCCTGCTGACTCTGGAAAAAGCTGTCGCGTCAACTCCTGAACCGAGACCGAGAGACGTAACCAGTGTTATTTTTGGACGAACCTTGGTGCCACACTCCAGAAAGCCTCACTTCTCTCTCACTAAAGGCCTCATCTCAAAAATGCTCGGATAAAATAAAGTTTAAGAAGAAAGGAAACAAACTCATCTAAAACATACAAAGTCTTCAAAGCCAGCAAATTATCTTCCATCTGCCCACTAAAACAATGGTCTGCACTGTTTCAGAGCTCAGAGGCAGGGACTCTCCGTCCCTGACACGAGCGTCCAAGGGAAATGTCCCACCGTGTTCTGCACTGTGACGGGACCCTCCTTCCAAGCCGCTCCGTCCGGCCGCCAGACTGCGGGGAACGACCGGCTGAGCGGACGCTGGGAGCGCCACACTCGCGGCCTGAAGCTGGCCACTGACCAGCCACGGCCACTGACGAGCCACGCTCTCCCTTCTAGAAGGTCCACTGCCCGGCCCACCCCGCGCCCTGAGCCGCCGAAAATGCACGCTCACACACTGAGTCCCTGAAACCGGCACAAATGCTCCCTTCGTCTCTCCACCCTAAATCCCGGTGAGCAACCGCTCTCCCTTCCCCGGCTGAAACCGCACCTCCATGACACGAGGAGCCTCCAGGCTGCGCGCCAGAGGCCGTGGAGACCGTGGCGCTTGCCGTGTGCCCTGGGTGTCTGCATGGGAGTGAGCCGGTGGCTGCCAGGAATGTTCTCGGCCCGCGGCCTGCATATCATTGCAGCTGCAGCAGCGCAGAAGCCGGCGGTCCTTTCCAAGTCCGCACAGCACAAGGACAATCGTCTCAGACACAGACAATAAGGCTGTAGGTCACAGAGACCGTAAACCACCCGCGAGTGCCTAACTGTGGCTGCGCTGCTGAGGGAGAACGCGCCCTCCCGGGTCAGGACCACTGGCAGCGGGAGAGGAAGGAGCCACTCAGAGACAGCGGTCATCGCCATCGTGGCCCCAGCACTGCCAAACCCCCAGAGCACCCGGCGGGTGGGCCTGCTGTCAGCTGGGGCGTCACCCCCTCCTGCCACCACTGCCCCTCAGCGGAGCACCCCACCTCACCCAGGCAGAGGGTGGCCTGGCTCCGCTGGGGCCACTGGCCTTTACTCCCTCCGGCCACTGGGCTCCAGGCCCCACCAGGACGGCAGGGGCGGCAGCTGCACGAGGCCCCCAGGCTACTCTTTGGGCAGCAGGAGCCCACAGCCTGGCAGGAAAGATGGCATGGGCTCCCGGGGGCTGGGGCTGAGGGGGCGCCGGGGCAAGGAGCGGGCGGACACAGCCGGCCAGACAGCAGCTTTGCTGCATTCTCCTTATTTGTCGTGCTCTGTGCACCCTGATCGTCCCAACGTACGGAACCCGGGCCGAGAACCATGGGAGGAGGACAGGATAGACGTCCTCTGCTTCAGGAGAGCGCGGCACAGCATAGAGTTTTCTCAGCCTGGACCAGTCCATAAGGAGGCTGCAGGCATCCTCTCGTGGGGTTTTCTGTGATACAGACATCCCTGGAAACTGAATCAAACGTATATCTGACCTATACTTGAACTAAATGAGCCTATCATTCCGAGAACTTCCAGTCCGTTTGACAAACACCAACCTTCACAACATGAACTGACTTTGACTAGAAAAGTACGTGTTAGAAAATACTCAAATCCATGAGATGTATAAAATAACAAATGCTCCCCTCCACGCCCCCTCCGGACTCGCCTCCCCAAGGCTGATACAGGAAGCCTTGTTACTCTCCAAGCTCGTTTCTGCTCATCTACTCACACACCTTCATCCGCAAAACTGGATTTTTTCAAATTAAAAATGTATCATGGTGGGGCGCCTGGGGGGCTCAGCGGATTAAGCCTCTGCCTTCAGCTCAGGTCATGATCTCAGGGTCCTGGGATCGAGCCCCGCATCGGGCTCTCTGCCTGCCTCTCTGCCTGCTTGTGATCTCTGTCTGTCAAATAAAAAATAAAAATCCTTAAATAATAAAAAAATTTTTAAAAAATGTATCTCGGCACGACTGACAAGAATTTGAAGAGACCCAATGAAGTAGCCTGCGAGAGAGCCCTTGAGGCCGTGCAGGCGGCAGCCGTCCTCGGACCAACCCCACACCATGCCCCAGAACTCCCTGCTGGCTTCGCTGCGGACACTGACACGCCGATCCTAAAATTCAGAGGGAGATGCGAGGGACCCAGGAAGAGGCAAAAGCATCTGGAGGAAGGAGAACGGAATGACAGGACTCGCGCTCTCCAATTCCAAAACCTCCTCTAAAGCTACAGGAAGCAAGACGGGGACGGCGGGAGGAGGACAGGCCCAGATCAACGGAGTGTGACTCAGAGTCGGACAGAAACCCGAGCGCGTGTGGCTCGCTGATTTCTGGCGGGGCAGCCAAGGCAAGTGCGCGGCCCCGTGCCAGCGACTGAAGCCGGGCGCTCCCGAATGCCGTCTCCAAAGTGAACCCTCAACGGTCCAAGGACGGAAAATGTAAACGTAAGAGCTACAAATAGGAAACACAGAGGAAAACCTCTGGGACCCCGAGCTGTGCGACACCAAGAGCCTGGTCCGTAAAGGAAAGAAACTGCTGAAAAGGAAGAAACCCCTGAAAATC